TTTTCTCCTCCTGCAACATAAAAGGTGACACTCACTTTTAAAGCGCTACATTCTTTATTTTTTCTTTGTTTCTTTTATTGGTGATATTGTAAGGAATCACATGAATGTTTAGCAGCTTATTTTTATATGGATTGTTTATTGTAATATTTGAAGTTGAGATTTATATTGTTCTACATTTTTATAATAAGCGCTAGTCTCTGTTCACATTTTTGCATTCCACTACCGCCTTGCTGACGTCGCAGCTTTGTTGGAACAGGGTGGCCCTCCACCAACCATCCACTACTCCATTCATCTGGACCATCCAGGGTTGCACGGCACTCATCAGTGAACAGGACTGTTTGAAAATTAGTCTTCATGTATTTTTCTGCCCAATGCATCCGTTTCTGCTTGTGAGTATTGGTTAGTGGTGGCCAAATAGAAGGTTTATGCACAGTTACAAGACTCTGGAGGACTCTACACCTTGATGTCCGTGGGACTCCAGAGGCACCAGCAGCTTCAAATATCTGTTTGCTGCTATGTAATGGTATTTACCTCTTGATCCGATGCATGGATCTAGCAGAAATCTTCCTTAATGTGACTTTATCTGCACGAACCCGTCTGTGCACTGAATTAGCCACAAATCTCTTAATAGTGCGATGATCACGCTTAAGTTTTCGTGAAATATCTAATGTTTTCATACCTCGTCCAAGGCATTGAACTATTTCACTCTTTTCGGCAGCAGAGAGATCCTTTTTCTTCCCCATATTGCATGAAAATGGTGCTCTGTTTAATAATGTGGAACACCCTCCTTTAGTAGTTTTTCCTTAAATTGGGCTCACCTGGCAATCTAATTATCACAGGTGTCCGAGATTGTTTTCAGTGATCAAAAGAGCCCTGAGACACAATGCCATACATGAGTTAAACTGAAAAACAAAATATCTTTGTGACACTTAAATAGAATTTGCATAATAATTTTGAAAAGGGTGTATATACTCCCTTTATTTTTTGGGGGGCATAAGCATGATAGCTGATCGGGAATCTAGGCGAGGTGTGAACTGGGGGCCTCAGCGCAAAAGTGTGTTTCCTGCAAGCACGCAACCACCGCCTGTGATTTGCGCAGTTGCTGGAACAACAGTCTCCTTTTATGGGGAGTATTAAGGCCATTCACGTTGAATGTTAGGATATTAAAATAATGAGCCATATTATATCACTATTTGACCTCGTTCCTAGCTCTATTACACTCTATAAGCTTTATGTTTACTCTGTTTGGCCATAAGATCCTGTAGTTTAATGTTTATCTTGTTTACATACATAATTTAAAAAAAAATCTCATGTAAGCATAAGTACCCAAAACAACAAAACACAACAACATAGTTAAATGAGGGAGATCTCGCACTGTCTCCAGCACCCAGATCTGGTCTTCCTCTGTCTCTCTTATTTGTTTTAAAGAACTCATGTGGTCTCTGTGATTTCGGCGGTGCCATCTGGTAGCCGTATAGGTGATGCAGAAAAACTGTATTAAATTTCTGCGGTACTAAATTGATACAATTTTGCAGTGCTGTAAATTTTTTTACATTTTTTTGCAGTGGTATATACAATGGTGTAATGGTATAGTAGTTAAGTTGGTTGCTGTTCTCCTGCTTGTTTGTAGACGGTTTAAGCCTTTTTTATTTTCCTCTCTTTTTCTTTTCCCCCCTCTTTTTCCTTCCCCCTCTTTCCGCTTTTTTCTCCCTTTTCTGTTCTTTTCCTTTGTTTTCTTTCTTCTCTTTCTTTTTTTCTTCTTTTCTTTCTTTTCCCCCCCCTTTTTACAGTTCAGTGATATATTGTACTACAATATAATATGTAGTTTTAATCTGGTGAGTTTTAATTTGCTGTTCACTTCTTTCCCCTCCTCAATCTCTTCAAATCTCTTCAGATCGCTTTTTGTCTTTTTAATTATTTTATGTTGCTTTGTATCATTTATATCACTTTGTCATTGCTGAAGCATTTTGGGTCACTTAAATCACTTTAAATCACTTCCAAATGCTTGGAGCACTTTGAAGCACCTTGCAGCACTCTGCAGCACTTTACAAAACTTTGCAACATTCTGAAGCACTTTGTAACACTATGAAACACTTGTAACCTTCTGAGGTGCTTTAAAGCACTTTGAGTTGCTTAGAAGCAGTTTGAAACACTTTGTATAGCTTTAAATAACTTTATATCACTTGTATCGCTCTGCATCTCTTTTGTGTCCCTCTGTATCACTTGTAACACTTATTTTCACTTTGTGCCACATCAGATCATTTGATATCACTTTAAATCACTTTGAGACTCTTAGAACTAATTTAAAAAAAAAATGAAAGTATGAAATTTTAAGCACACTTTGTTCTATCAAAATATGAAATTAGTTTTTGTTAAAACTGTACATGCATAGAAAAATGATTTTTATAAGCTCAAATAAAGTTAAGATTTTAAGTGATATAAAACTAACAGAATTGGTAGAGATGTTGAGGTAAAAAGCTAAAAGGAAAGATGCAAACAAATGATGCTCTTAGAATCTGGCGATTGATGAAAACGCACTATCCCCTGAATTAAAACAGCAGAACACATATGTGATGTGAAAAAAAACAAAAAACAACAAAACATGTACATGCAGGCCTCTTAACATTTCTTATTTTTGATGGGACAGTCTAGATTTTAAGTTCCTGTCCTGCCACCCTGACTTTGTTCTCTTGTGTTTCACTTTTGGGGACACCAAGGAACTGTCCTCAAAAAGCATAGAGCGACAGCATTATTATATGTGCTTGAACTTCAGCCAGGGAACTGGGACCCTATAGAGAGTACTAAAACAGCCCTCCCTGCGTGGTTCATCCATGGCAGGCTGGCCTTCTTAAATGGCTGCCCTTTTGTGTGGTGCCAGTGACATAATTCATGTCTCTGGCCCACCCCTTGTAACGGAATGCCATTGTTTGGGGGCTATGTACATGTAAAACATATGGTACCCTGTATTTAACTAAAAATGTCAGTTTAAAAATATAGGCCCTTTGAAAGACCGGTTCCTCTTCATTTTGATGATGGGTGTCACTTTTTTGCCTCTATTGTGAATTTGGAAGGAGGAAAAATAGACTATTTGATTGAGGAAAAATAGACAATTTTTTATTGAAGCAATTACATTGCATCTCTAGGTATATGGAAAACATATTCAAGTGGTGATGAGAAAACCTGAAGAAACAAGGAAATGTCAATCTTTAATTTCTTTATAGCTCAACATTAAAGGACCACTATAGTGCCAGGAAAACATACTCGTTTTCCTGGCACTATAGTGCCCTGAGGGTGCCCCCCCTGGATGGAGAGGAAGGGGTTAAACTTACCACTTTCTCCAGCGCCGGGCGGGAGCTCTCCTTCTTCTCTCCTCCCTCTTCTCCTCCTCTTCGGCATTCAGACAGTCCATAGGAAAGCATTCACAATGCTTTCCTATGGATGCTGGCGTCTTCTCACTGTAATTTTCACAGTGAGAAACGCGGAAGCCCTCTAGCGGCTGTCAATGAGACAGCCACTAGAGGCTGGATTAACCCTAACATAAACATAGCAGTTTCTCTGAAACTGCAATGTTTATAGAAAAAAGGGTTAATCCTAGCTGGACCTGGCACCCAGACCACTTCATTAAGCTGAAGTGGTCTGGGTGCCTATAGTGGTCCTTTAACCCTCCCATCTGGAAGAGAACTTTATAAGATTTCAAGGAGGAGAGGGAAATCATCTAAGAAATATACAGAGCAAGAATAGACAGCCTAGAAACCATGTTACAATCTCCGGAAACACCAGTGACAGATATATCTTACACATTCCTCAAGGACACAGAGGGGAAAAAAAAAAGTTGCAGTTTCTAATTTTACCCTACACACATCTGTATGAAAGTATAATTTTACATTTTGATTTACAGATTTTTAAGAAATGCTGAATTAAAGTCACAGGTTTAAAGCCGCACTGTCACGCCAAACTAGCCTTTCTCCTATTGTTTCCTCTTCTCTTCCTCTCTCAGAATTTGTTTTTCTTTTCCTTATTTCTGATATAGTTTTCTTTAAAACATAAGCCAAAGTAGAGACTACTTTGTCTTATGTATTTTTCCTACTCTTGATCTTCTTTGGCAATAGGACCCCTCATGGGTGGGGGCTGGGGTGGGGAGACTATGTCTCCCCCCTCATTAATTATTTTAATAGATACCTGCCATGGGGGCATGGGCAACCTGTGCTAGGTTTGGAAGGTGGGAGGGGTGTCTTTTTTTTTTTATATATATATATACAATGAGCAGGCACTGGCAGCTCACAGTTTAGTAGACATGCCCCTACTTGCGGCATAGGATATTGACCCCCATAGAGTGAGTAGGGGCATGGAGGGGTTTAGGAAGTCTTGGGGAGTACAGCTTACCTCCACTTCTATTTTTACATATTAAAAGGAGGGAGCCACGAGCCGCGAGCCGTTAGCTTCTCCTTGTAATAAACTAAACAAACTAACGTTAATTCTTTGCCACTTTAATAAAAATGTTTTCTCTCCTATTAACATACAGGTAGAGGATACACCTTTGCAACAAAAACCATAAATTAAAAAAATAAAAGCAAACACTCATCTTCTTGAGTGCGCTTATTATGCTGTGAAAATGATGTAGATAATAGGGGCGGGGCCTGACCGCCAGTCGGATCAGACATTCTTCGTCTGAGCTCCGGCCTCTGAGCTGGAATATCGAAGCTAAATGCGGGCTACATGCAGAAACCGACCTGAAACTGTGTTTATAGTATTACCAAGGCGACTGCGATCCAGGGGATACCCAACAGGACCACCAACGGCACCAAAGTAACCCGTCCGCGGCCTGAGGCCCACGAGCTTCAGCTCGGGTGAGACGGCCGCTCTCCCGGTTCTACGACCGGCGCTCTGCCACCCCCACCCCCTCTGGTCTGGGCGGGTCATCCCAGTCTCCATGGGCGACCACCACCGCAAGCTGTAACGCCTCCACGCCGAGCAACGAGGTCCGGGCATAGTGCCCCAAGATGGCCGACCAACATTCATCCTGTGCACGACACGACATGGACACCGAGCAGTGCACAAGTGAGCTTGGATGCTACTGCACAACGGAGTCACGCAGCGGCTCCCGCAACAAGCCCTATGCCAGCCCGCCTAACAACGCCTGCAACAGCAGCGAATGGGGAATGTGGAGACAATGTGAGAGCGGGGGAAGAGCAGGACCTCCCCTCACTGGGCGCTCTTTTTCAGACATCGACACTGCCACACATGACAAGCCCGTCTGGGCTGAAGACCACGCTGGGGATCCGACGCCGCAGGCGGTGCTTAACCATCAGGAACCACAGCAGCCCCCCACAGGGGAAGAACTTGGCCTCCCATGTGAGTAACCTAGTTCGCGGCCATGAGGTGCGGGCCTTCACACAAGCACGGGGCTATAGGGGAGACATGCCAAGACCCTGCCCCGCGTCACCACACCACCCCACATGCCCGAACCCAGGCCGAGGCACAGACTACACCAGGGCTTTATACCCCAAAGGCACAGAGGGATGGCGGGATTACCCACACGATGGACCAAGTACTTTATAACGCAATGCCAGCCCATCCTACCGCTCCTGCTCGGGCAGCCGCATGGAGAATTTTGCCCCCTACGAGATGGTTATAGGTATTGCCCATGCCTGCATGATAACAGCATAGATAACTATACATAGGCACTACATGGGCGGCAAACCGAAACAGGCTGAGAAGGCTGGATACATACGAGGCACACACCTAGCATAGTCATACTCCAGCCAGCTCAACACATACACACGTGTAGCACACACTACCAAGCTGACTAAGGGGACACTGGACCGACCTCTATTCCACATTAGGGCAAGCAGGGACGGAGGAACCGTGGGTTTTCTAGGAAAGTCACCTTGCTAAGACATAGACATGCCAGTATACACTCGTACGCGCGCAGCACGCATTGCCGGGCACCCCTAACATGTTAACCACAACTAAACACGCATAATACTCAGAACAAGCGTAGACACTCAACGACACAAGCCGGGTGGTACCATAGTGACTACTCACACTAGTTATAACAATCCAGCTGGCACCATACAGCAAATAGCATGTTCACTTTATTTTGCATCTCAGGTGTAGACATGGCAAGCTAATCTTAGTTCACTGTTCTTTCATTAGTTACAAGCCTGTTGTTTTCACCATGAAGCCGCAAGCCAGTCATACAAATTTAGCCTATACCATATTGCTATTAGCTTGTCTACTTTATCGTTATTCTTTTCATTTAAAAATGTATGCATACCCAACATGCCACAATGTTATTACGTTAAGCCTATGAGAAACGAGCCTGCTGATGTTGTTGTGGCGATACAGGCACTGTTGTACCTACCTGCATACCAAAAATAAAGAATTTAAAAATGATGTAGATAATTTCTGCTTTTTGACTCTTTACACAAATGACTCTCAATTTCTCCTTAATTGAATTTATCAATCTTAGAAATCTGGTAATGAAAACCTCATGTTTAAATAGTTATTCTAAGCAACATAACCACTACAGCTCTCTTTATGCACTGACTGAATCTTGGCTGGATTGGTGAAATGTGGACAACATTAAAGGGACACTACCACCCCTTAACAACTTCATCTCAAAGTCCTACCTTAAACCTATTTAAAAGTGTTTCTTCCCAAATGTTGTCCCTCAATGCTCGTCAGCACTCTTCCTGTCCGTGTCTTCTACAGTGATCTAGAAGGTTTTGCCTTGGTGGCCGGTGAAAAGTTGAGAATGTTAGCTGACACTTTCAGCATGTCATTGATTGCCCACTGGAAGAGAGGAAGTGCACCCAAAGGGGCAGCTTTGGGTTAAACCGTTGAGAATTTTTTAAACCTTAAATGGTAAGACGACGCTCAGGGACTATAGCTCCCCAAAAACTTTGAGATAAATTAAAGGACCACTATAGTGCCAGGAAAACATACTCGTTTTCCTGGCACTATAGTGCCCTGAGGGTGCCCCCACCCTCAGGGACCCCCTCCCGCCGGGCGCCGGGCGGGAGCTGTACTCCTCCTCTCCTCCTTGCTCGCGACGTCATCGGCAGAATGCGCATGCGCGGCAGGAGCCGCGTGCGCATTCAGCCGGTCGCATAGGAAAGCATTTACAATGCTTTCCTATGGACGCTTGCGTGCTCTCACTGTGATGTTCACACTGAGAAGCACGCAAGCGCCTCAAGCGGCTGTCAATGAGACAGCCACTAGAGGCTCTGGAGGCTGGATTAACCCTCAGTATAAACATAGCAGTTTCTCTGAAACTGCTATGTTTATTAAAAAAAAGGGTTAATCCTAGAGGGACCTGGCACCCAGACCCCTTCATAAAGCTGAAGTGGTCTGGGTGCCTAGAGTGGTCCTTTAAGTTCCTTTACCTGGCTGAGAAAGCTGGTGGTGAGTTCTTAGCCAATCAATGTTATCTAAGTTGGACAAAACAGTCCATGATAATGCGGATATGCTAATTCTATGTAATCAATACAGTCAAGAGAGGAATGGTTCTATAATTAAAGTAAGGGCACTGTGCAGAAGAACATAACCACTACATTGAGCTAAAGTACGATGCTTAATGTGCTCCTTTAAATATTGGTTTTAATTTACTGACAATTTTAAATCTCAATTTAAATATTGATAATTACTGATAAGCACATTTTAGGAGCTGCAATCAACCTATCGTAGGTCTGAAGTCATTCTGTTAGTGGCACACTTTAAAGGCATACTGAGTAAAACCTAGTGTTCCAAGCACTATGACCACTTCAGTTTGCTTAAGAAGATGCATGAAACTCATCTGTGAACACAAATACAAAGAAACCAGTCCTGCGCTCAAACTCCCATTACTCCTGGGCGGCAGCAATGACTATAGTACACATCAGCCAAAATATATATAGCAAAAACCAAAGAAAAAAGTTACCTGCGCTCTTTCCACATCCCTGTGTATTTTTAAACAAATGGAGGCCTTCAGCCACCTCCAATGGCCATGAGAGGGCATGCCCACCCGCCACATAAAGGCAGACTCATCTGTTCCGTGTTCAAGCATGAAACATTACTAGTCCTGAAATATTTAGATTTCCTTCTCTGTGGAAAGGTTCTACTTCCTGTCAATACTTCAGGCAGAAACTTTCCTGCTGCTATTTGATATGTAGCTCAGCACTAGAGATGTCGCGAACCGTTCGCGAACTTCCCGCGAACGGCTCGCAGCGAGCTCCGGTCAGCTGACACATCTCGGCCAATCTCCAGCAGACCCTCCCTCCCAGAACCTCCCACCTCCTGGACAGCATCCATGTTGAAGCTGCCTTCAACATGGATGCTGTCTGGGAGGGAGGGTCTGCTGGAGATTGGCCGGGATGTGTCAGCTGACCGGAGCTCGTGGCGAACGGTTCGTGGCGAGCCGTTCGCGGGAAGTTTGCGAACGGTTCGCGACATCACTACTCAGCAATTTGCAGCAACTTCACTTATAAAATAGAACATTGAATTGATGCATGGAGGTATCGTATGTGACTGAGCATGATTGATTGCAGGTTAAGCGCTTTCAAAAGACAGCATGCACATTTAGACAGGCAAAGGAGGAAGTTTAGCTTCTGGGTCTATTTGTTGTACCAGTTCAGCCCTGCCTTACACTGTAACCTATGCAAGAAACCTAAGTTGTGACTTGGACTGTCCTTTCTCCACTTATTTTCTGTATAAATGCAAAATACTTGTGACATTTTTATTCCTTCAACACTGGTTTTCTGCAAAAAAAACAAAAAACTAACAAAACGGGCAAATTCCTTGTGCCTAGCAGAGAAAAAGTGTTACGTTTGCAATGGCATGGTCACTGAAACTCATGCTAGGCATGGTAAATATTTGCTTTCACACTTCTGTACTGATCCCCATTCTTGTGATTTTCAGGATTCATTAAAAAGATAAAGAATTCTTTTTAACACTCATTTCTTTGTGATTTCTTCTAGCAAAGTAATGTCCCTCTCAGATTAGTAAAAGGAAAAACCCCAAACCTTTTCAATTAATTCAAAGTCAAAGCAATAGAAGTTCATCTCACACATTGGACTTTCAAGCCCTCCCCTCTTCCTGTGTGTGTTTACAAATAAACAACTTCTACCAGTGATTTCAAGATTTGTTAAAAGGAACACTGTCATTAGGAATGCAAACATGTATTCCTAATGTTAGAGTGTTATTAGAATTATTGGATGTCTGGGCCCACCTTAATAAAGTTACATTATTTGTATTAATCACCTTATTTCTCTCAGTCTGCTGGTCTCTGCATGGCTACCACAACTATATCTAAGATAATCGTTACTGATGATCTCAGCCAATCCAAAGCATCCCTTGAGGGAAGAATTGGGAGGTTAGTGTGCATGAGCGGCAATTGTCGCACTGCACCAATCAGCATCTCCCCACAGAGATGCATTTACTCTATGCATCTGTATGTGGAGTGTCCTGAATCTTCATGCAGATTGTGAAAATGCCGATACTCCGTCATTGCAGTCTTAGCTTCTGGGTCAGTCTGGGACTGCATCCAGGAAGTACCTCTTGTGGCCATCCGAGTGACAGCCACTAGAGTTCGTGTTAGGCCGCAATGTAAACACTAACTCTTCCGAAAAGGTATAGTTTACACTACGGAGCCGGCATGGACAGTTTCTGTGCCTCAAAACCTTGGTCACATAGCTGAAAAGAGACATATGTCCATCAAGTTCACATCTGTTTTTGCTGTTGATCCAAAACAAGGCAAAAAACCCAGTCTGAAGCGCTTCCAATTTTGCAACATACTAGGGAAATGTCCTTCTTGATCCAAGATCTCTCCTTGAATCAAAAAGCTATTAGCCCACAAATTAAAATGATATCCCTGTATATTGTGTTTTTTTGTTTTGTTTTGTTTTTTTACAAGTATTCATCCAATTGCTGTTTAAACGTCTATACTCTCATAAAATCACCTTGTTAGGCAGATAATGTCTCATTCCACTTTTTTTTATGTTTTATAATGCAATGCATTATTACAGATTGCTTTGCTTTAACGTACAGAAATTGCTTGTGTATGGTATTTCATGTAACGTCAAAATATATGTATTGTACTAAAACTTTACATGTGAAAGAGTGCCCTCTGGTGGCTAAAGATAGTATTACTTTATCATAAGAACACTCCGAGTACCATAACCACAGTCTGTTGTAGAGATTACTTATATGTCACCGCAGAAGTTGTTATGGACATCAAATAAAAGTGTAATTACACTAACTGATATATGGAACATGTTCCCTGAATCAGAGATAAACCTGCATTTGGTGTCCGGTTTAAAATCTGTGGTTTTCACATCTGAACCCTATACAAAGTATTGGATGAGGAATATTTATCAAGTAC